GCAGGGGCGCTCTGGCTACGTTCGCGCTCAGCTGCGCTTCGGTCGGTGCTGAAACGCCTGGAAACCTGTGCCCAAGCTCACCCTTTGCATGGAGCTGGGAGCAAGTTCCTTCAGACTCTGAGAAAATGGAAACCAACAGCTGGTATTTGCATGGCAGAGTTGGGGACTTTCATACGGGTGGGACGGATGAGTATTCACCATGGGCTGCTTGCGTGCAGTTTCCTTTGTTGTGGGGAATAAACGATACAGAAATTAATTCACTTTTTAGTTGTTTTGTAGAAGGTAACAAAACAGGGGTACTGCAGAACACACGTGCTACTGCACAGGCAGTGAATGCTGTATAAAAGGCTTTTTTTTTATTGTAGTTTTCTAAAACATCAGCTATCCTAAGCGTTTCATAATTACTGCCGCAAGAATGCAGGAAACGGTAAAAGTAATGATCTCTGGCCTTTCCCAATATATTTTCTGCTGTACGGTGCACTTGTATGGTGTGACCAGTCCTGAGCAGTTTGCTGGACGCCGCTTAGAGTGTCCTCTGCTCTGTCTGTGTAAATGGCACTTTCTGTCAGTCTTCAGCATGGCCAAAATCCAAGTGAGAGATTTGAGGGCTAATTCTGCAAACCCTTCATTGCACAAGGTGTCTCATTTGTTGTGGGTCAACAAACCTAAGTAAAACGTGCTAACTGGAACCTGCACCAGCATATGGAGTTACGGGTTTTCAGTGCAGGTAACGCTTGCTGCCGTGCAACAAGCTGCCGTTGTTTCAAATGGGAGTAGTGCTGGACCCTAACCCAGGGGCAGGAAGGTTCACGGCCAGCTAATCCTGGCTGCTAGAAGCTTATTTTTAGTTCAGAATTAGCTGAGGTTCAGCGTGAGCAGTGTGAGGGAGCGTAGACCAGTTCATGGTGCCTCTTTCAGGGAACAGCTTCAAATGATATGGGAAAGAAACAAGTGGTAAGTTTGTGGATCCTTGAGTCTTACCAGTCTTACAGCCTTTTTTATTTCTGAAACCAACTGAATTTTTGGAGCATGGGGATTGTTTATTTGTGTATGCTCTTTCGATGTAATTATATAATAGAAAATCTGAAAGTAAACTGCGTTTTTCTAGATTGAAAGTGCAAGAGCCTAGTTTCAGATTAACAGGAGATGTTTATTTTTAGATTTTAGTTGTGTTTGACCTGCTGGTAAATATTTTCAAAAGTATATGAAAATTAGTGTTTTATCATATTTAAAAGCCTTTTTCTTAAATAAGCTTATTTCCCTTTATTGCTTTTACCATTGGTTCTGAATTTACAGTTTCATTAATAGAAAATACTGAACTTATGCTGTGTACTGTGCAAGTATATCGAATGCATAAATTATTGCAGTATTTTCATATTTAAATAGAATGACTGATGAGCTTTCCAATGAAAGCAGCTCCTTACATGAAAAGTCAAAAATATTCAAGGGGAGCTGAAATGCAAGCTGTGCCTCGCACGCAGCTGTTGAGTACGTGTCGCTAATGCAGTGCCCTTCAGAACTCTGGCAAAAGCGTATTATTCTTGTGTCTTTTACGTACTACTTTTATGTAACACCTCCATCAGGAGTCTCTAGCTATTTAAGAGGCATCTATGAAGCAAAACATACTTAGTGTGTTCTGACCGTATCTGGAAATAGCTGTTTCCGAGAGGTGACTTCACACTGACAGAGTTGACTTTTGTCTCTCTTGTCTTTCAGCGTCCACCTCGTGCCCTCCCTCCGGTGCCAAGGTAAAATCAGTTCGTTCTGTGGAATTGATCATGGTTCTGTACTGCAGTGTTTTTAAAAGTAATGAAATTAAGAGAAATAAGTTTAAAAAAAATCTGAGCAGTCATAAGGTCTTTAAAATGATTAATTTTCTTGCTAAGTTGTCGTCCCAGAACCCCTTACAAGGAATACAAAGCATTTTAAAGTTTTATAGAGGCTGAGAAATTTTACTGTATTACCTCAGTTTTAATACTCTGAGAGATAAACCTTTTAAAAGGTTTCAGACAAACAGCTACTTTAGTTTTAGTAATATTTACTTTAGCTTTGTTAACATCTACTTTACTTTTATTGATGTCCTTCTCGTTAATCTCTTCTTCCTTCCCTCTTTGTTTTGTTTCATATTCTTTAGTTTATTTGAATCAGAAATCCTTCAGAACAGGAGTTTCTGAAATTAGACTAGATATTCTTGAATAGGGGTGTAGGTATCTACTAGTTCGACATAGTATAGGGAAGAATTTTGACTTTTTTTCAGTAGAGAAAGAAAGGCAATTACGTAGTTTTTATGACATGGTACTTCAGAATTCCTTCAAAGTACCTAAAAGCAAACGTGACGTTCATGACTGACGACATAGAAAGATAGTGTCTTTTTAGTAATGTATGCACTCAAGTGTTTCATAACTTTTGTTGGTTTGTTACATATCAGGCAGTAAGACAAGTTTTAATTAGCTGGGTGGTTAAAGCTTTTAATCTGATCACAGCTAGCCAATCGAGAAACCGTGCATAGTCACAAACAAAGTGTTGAGTCGTGCTCTTAACCCTGTTGTACACGACTGTTCATAAAGAGAACTAAGAGTGGGGATAAGGAAACGAATCACAAAACCAACAGTGTAAATTTCACTATTGCGAATTGTAGTTGATTCAAAATTAACTTTCTTCTCGTCTTTGTTCTCTTTTTACACTGCTCTTCAACACCTTTTGTCCTTACATGTGAAGTGGAAACCAAGGTGAGTTATTCTGTCATTGAAGGGAATTACAACATTGGTAGTTCCTTTTGATGTCACTTCATCCTCTCGTTAGAGATACAGCCTTATACTTTTCCTAAATGCAGGCTGATGGTTTAAACTGCGTAGATACCTGCTCTGCCATTGCTAGAACTGTCTGGTTTGGTTTGTTCTCTTTACTGTTTGCCATTTCGATACTGAATCAAGGTAACCGAAATGTTGTCACTGTGCTTTAAACAAGAAGTTAATTCTTCAGAGCATTATTTAGAGGATTTCAGTTCTTCACTTAACACACGTGCACGTGCGTGTTTAGCCTCTGTTGCACTTGAGGCAGATTTCTTATCCTGTTTTCCTGCCATTTGCTGTATTCCTCCTGCTTGTGTGAACTGGTGAACTTTCATCTTAGCTGTAAAAGGTGAAGGATGTCTTCACTTGTAAAAAGGAATCCCTTTCTTAAATAGCAATAGAATGGCTCTTAAGAAAATGGAGGTTTCTCCATGCTGTGCACTTACGTTTCTGTTTTGTGTTCTGTAGATGAAATTCCACTCAATCATCCCAAAAAAAGGAAACCCAAAGGAAAAACTCCATTAGGTAAGGTTCTGCCAAGACTGAAAACTGTGTGTGTAGTCCTGGGTGAGACCTGCACTGTAGCCAAGCTCCTGACAGATACACGGTTTTCAGTCTTGTACGCTGTTTTTGAGTAGTGTTCTCAGCTAATTTAATACAATTTATTTTATATTGATCAACCGCAGTCTCTCTCCCAAAGTGGTGTCATTTTAGCGCAAGCCTGTAATGCTAACTGAAGTGACTTGTTCCATCCTCTGCTCTTTCTCCCTAGATCCATTCTTGGTATGCTAGTACAGCACGTCTTGATACTGAACTAAAGAGTTCCTTTATTCCCGCTGTTTTTTCCTTTCTAAAATTTTTGGTTACTTCATTAAGTAGTGATTTCCAGCTGTAAGCTACTTACTTGTTAGGTTGAATGTGTTAAGTGCTTGAATTTTTGAATGAACGAAGATAAAACTCATTTAGCAAATTGGCTCAATTTCAGTGCTTGGCCAAACAAAGTTACAAGTTAGTCATTCCATTTTCATCGAAGAGCCTAAATGATGACTAGCACCAGAGCTTTATATTTTTACAAGAAGTGGATCTGCAGAACAAACATGTCATTTGAAGCAAGATTACAAGTCTGATGTATTTTGATGAAGCGGAATGTGTTGATAGAATCTAGTGGATTTCTGTAAACCAGCTGACTTGGGTCCATAGGATGGTTTGATGAATAAACCTCCTTTATTTGCTTAAAAGAGTGTACAATTGAGGCCTCACTGAAAGACCTTTAAATGCAACAAGTAGAGATGTTGCTAGCAGGGTTTCCCAAAGATCAGGTTTTGTTTGCTGTTTTCAGTGAGCTGAATGATGGTGCAAAGTACAGCTTGGCTTTGCTGGTTAATTTAGCATTTTAGCACAGCAAAGCTTTATAAAAGGTGGGAAAACCTGTGCTTGAAGCGAAAACAAAGATAGATTGACTTGTTACCATAAAAACTGCAGTAGTTGAAAGAGCTATAAAAAGGCAGATGTGATGTAAAATGGAGAAGTGACTTTGTCTTTCTTCTTCTGATCATGCAAATTGGTGCTACTGCTAGAAATGTAGTTCCTCCAAAGCATAGTAATTCATCTCTCAGACTGGAGTAAACATCCTTCAGTGTTGTTTATTTCTGCTCCTCCTTTGTGGTGTATATTTTAACATTTAAATTTCGCTTTGCTATGACACCGTTTTGCCTTAGCACATACCTGTGTGAATCAGCTTGTAACAAAACTGTTATTTTTTTTCTTGTCCCTTGCATTATAGTCTTTGCTTGTAGAAAAGAAAAGTGTAGAGGTTCTTTCATCAGAAAGTTCTTCTACCACAGACGTTCTTTCCTGTGGTAGATTTCTCTCAATCAGTCCTCTGTTGTATGCCCAAATGGAAATTGTGCTACTTCTTGGATGCTTGAATTTCCTCCTGGGCATGAAACTGTCAGAATGAAAGGAGGCTTGTCAGTGACCACCTTTGTCTGTTCTTACCACATTTGTTTCCCAACTGTTATATTTCCTAGCCAATACATTTTCATCTCAGCTGTAAGCTGGGCAGGTAGAGACATTCTGCACAATGTAGCAAAAGGCAGCTTTTTCTTGCCTGTTTCTCAGCAACGTTTGAATTAAGGTTGCTGGATCTTTTCATCTGGTTTGCAGATGGCATCGTCCAAGCAGCGGTTCGTCGTCAGTCTGAAAGCAGTGAGCCCTTAACTCCTGAACCTCATGATGTCCCTCCTCAGAGGAGACGCAAGAAGAAGAAAGTACCTACTGGTATGTGAAATAACTGTAGATTGGAAGGAGCACTGAGTAAAACTTGGTGACACAGAAATACCATTGGCCAACTTGTATTTTGGCTTAAAACATTTCATGTACTTAAACCAGCTGAAAGTAATCTCTGAGTGAATGGTAGCTTAGAGTTTCAGTTTCCGATTTCAGATTCCACAGGGTACAAACCCTTATGCAAATAATGGCAGCACCGATTTGGAAGTGATAGAAAAGATCCTTTGTATAATACAAAGCTCAGAAGAGCTTCACTTTTTTGCCACTGTGTTTATATAATAACTATGTATTTAAGTGAATGTATTTCCATTTTTGAGAAAGCTGTGAAACTTTCATGCGATGTATTTTAAATCTTCAGATTCTGAGACCTCTTTTACCCAGCAAAATGTTGCATCCCTGTTTCAGAATGGAAACGGCATGGATGTCCGTGAAGCTGAGGAAACAGTGATCCGCAAACAGAGAAAAAGAACGAAGTGAGACAAAACTAGTATAGCTCGTAGTTTGGAGTAACTGTGATATCAGTGTGGCTGAGTAGTATTTTACATTGTCGCATTGCAAGAATGTAAAATCTTCCACAGTACCGTTCAGCCTCTGCGATAAATAGTACGTGAGCAGTTCCTTCCAGGATTAGGATGTAACTTTCTTCCCTTGCTTGTTTTATGCGTAGCTGGATGCATTACAGTTCTCAATATATTTACACGAGCCTAATATTTCAGTCACATACCTGAAAAAATTAGAATGCATAACTGCTTTCTTTCATTCTTACTATCTTTTTCTTAATTCTGTGAGAAACTTAACTGCTTTCTCATCCTTTTTATTTGCCTTTTCTCCAAGATCTGTGCCTTTAAATCATTTTAGTCACCCTTCTGCCAAAAACATCCATCCACTTTCTTGGCCTTGCATTTAGTTTCTGTATTTTTTTTCTTATTGTTAATCTCTTGATATGTATTTCTTCCAACCTTATTGTTTTGACACAGGAAGGAATTTAAATAGAGAAAAACACCACAAAATCAAGGATTAGCTTTAGGTTTTAGTAAACTAATTCCATGAGAACTTTATTCCTTAAAATTATAAACAGGGGTAATATGATACAGGTCAGTAGCCTGGTTGGTTTTTGTCAATCAAGGTAGACATGTTAAACGTTTATAGGAGCTTTCAAGTTTTACATTTTACTTCTATTCTTTCTCTGCCCCATTGCATGTTCTGCTCTGACAGGAAACCTCAGCCAGCTGAAATGCACTGTTCCAATGAGCTGGAAGTGGAGGAGGAAGACATCATTGAAGATGAGCACAGAAAGAGTCCAGATCAGCAGCCTGTGTTTGCTGCTCCCACTGGAATTAGCCAGCCTGTTAGCAAAGTGTTTGTTGAAAAAAATCGTAAGTACATCTTGTGATTTAAGTAATTTAAGGACATTCTTGCAATTAAAGGAAGCATTAAGGTATTTAAAAATCCAAATACTGTATTGGGAAGTATTGGGAATAATTACATATTCCCAAATACGTATTGGGAAGAATTAAAAAAACAAAGAAACAAACCAAAACAGACCCCACGTTTTCCAGAACAACAATTATTTGGAAATAAATATACATGATAATTTTTCAACAGTGAATGTTAGAGCTGCTATGCTGGTGCATTTGGTTGACTTTTTTAATTCCATGGTGTGCGTGAGGAAGGCTGATAGTACCCACCTGAGCTTATTTGACCTAATACTGTGACAGTACCTTGAGAAGAAAGTATCATGTACTACATTGCAAAAAGTCTTTCATCTGGAAGTGTTTTAGTGCTTTTTTGTTTGGTTGTTTTTTTGTTTTTGTACCAGGGAACAGTGAGTAATTTACCCAAAGTGCTTTACACATTCTTAAATCCATAGCCTGGCCCACCGGGATGCATCACACTGCTGGAGGCATCCTGATATGAATGTAAGCTGACCAAGAGCAGGAAGTGGGGAGAAGACATTTTCTGGTGGAACTTCTGACGCTTACAGCTTTTTAAAACTAATAAGTATTAATGTAGAAATGATGATGGAAGATAACAGTATTCTCTTAAAATTAATTTCCTCATCCTTTCAGGGCGTTTCCAGGCAGCTGACCGTGCGGAATTGATTAAAACCACTGAAAATATCAATGTACTTATGGATGTGAAGGCTTCATGGACTACCAGAGATGTTGCCCTCTCAGTGCACCGAAGTTTCAGGTGAAAGAGAAATGTTTTGATGTAAAAAAGCAGAAATCAGGGTTGTTTTGGTTTTTTTCCTTCTCCCCGAGAGCACCTTTTCTCTATCATTGTGATGTGTTTTTATTTCTTTTGGATATTCCTAATAAATGGTGGTTTGGGATGTAACAGGTATAAAGTTTCTCAGTCCTCTAGCTTTTGGTATTTGTTGACAAGAATAACTATTTCTAATATGTAGATATCACATGTGGCATGCAACTTAAGAATAACTAAGGAAGTCATATTGCAAAGATTTAGACAAAATCTGAAAAGCAAGAGATTGATCTGATAACAAAAATATTAGAGACCTACAGAAAAAATGTGTTACAAAATGAGATTCGCCCATCAACTATGTGACCAGAATAAAAATACCTGAATTCAGATGGCTTGCAAAGAGAAATCCTGGTTGGTGAAAAAGAGGGAGGGTATAGCTTGCACACAACAGAAAAATTTGATTAAATTTTTTTTAATATGCGATCATGTTGTGATACAGAATGGGAAGATGACTGCCATTTTTTTTTCTCTGGTGTATTTTATCTGGAAGCTTGCTCTTCCTTCTCAGCTTTTTCTTAGCAAGGAAGATAATGGAAAGTCTGACTCGAGGACAAGTTTAAGAGCATTGTGTAAGTGTAAGGGGCAGTGGTCTCAGGAAGCTACGGGCAGTGAGTGAAAGTATTTGATTTCCATAGAAGTAATGAAGTCAAGTAGTGATAGGATCAGGCAAAACATCTCAGTTTTCTTTGTTAGTGCTCAGGTTCTGGTTCAGTCTGTCAAGGGAGAAAGCAGAAGTCCCATTGCTTGGAATTTTTAAAACTAGATCAGAAAAAGCAGTCAGAAAAAAATCTGTGAAAGGCTGGGATCCTGTCGTGGCAGCAGGGTTGAACAGATGGATTCACAGGCCTTTTCTAGCTGTAGTTCTTTGCTAATTCAAGATGTTAAACTTGTCTAATGTTCTTTTCCCCGTTCAGGATGATCGGGCTCTTCACCCATGGCTTCCTTGCTGGATATGCTGTATGGAACATCATTGTCATCTACACTTTGGCAGGAAACCAGCTTTCTGCGGTTTCTAACCTGCTCGAGCGGTATAAGACACTTGCATACCCAGCTCAAAGCCTGTTCTATTTGTTGCTGTCTGTCAGTACAGTCTCAGCCTTTGACAGGTAAAATAAGTTTGTATTTGAAAGATGTGTGTGATTTGTGTGCAATATGTTCCTTTCTCCTTCCTGTGGCACGTTTTGATCTGCGGTTGATGATTTAACGTGATAAAGAATGATTTTACGCATGGCTGGCTATACAGATCAAGGGTGTACCTGTGCATTTAGACCTTTGTTACTCGTGTCTCTCCATTGCCTGCAGCCTTGCTTCAATGTGCTGGTGCCGTTTGTGTGGTCATGAGGTGAACCAGATGGAAGAGCTGACCTGTTGGGGTTTTTTTTGGGCCAGGGGGAGAGAGGTGGAGAACAACTAATATTTCTGTCAGGTTACTTTTCATGGATATCCATTCCCCAGTCAGGTTTGCAACGTAGCCGTGTAAACAGTTTTCCTGGCTTAGCTGGGGTTTCTGCATTACAGCTTAAGAGTGGGAGAATACCATAAACAGAGTAGATTCATAGATGTTATAGATGTTTCTTTGTCGGTGACGTGGACAGTGGCATGGAATGCACCCTCAGCAAGTTCGCCGATGACACCAAGCTGTGTGGTGCCGTCGACACGCTGGAAGGGAGGGATGCCATCCAGAGGGACCTCGACAGGCTGGAGAGGTGGGCCCGTGTCAACCTCATGAAGTTCAACCAGGCCAAATGCAAGGTCCTACATCTGGGTCGTGGCAATCCCAGGCACAAATACAGACTGGGCGGAGAATGGATCGAGAGCAGCCCTGAGGAGAAGGGCTTGGGAGTACTGGTGGACGAGAAGCTCAATATGAGCTGGCAATGTGCTCTTGCGGCCCAGAAGGCCAACCGCATCCTGGGCTTCCTCAAGAGGAGCGTGGCCAGCAGGTCGAGGGAGGTGATTCTCCCCCTCTACTCTGCCCTCGTGAGACCTCACTTGGAGTATTGCATCCAGTTCTGGAGCCCCCAACATAAGAAGGACATGGACCAGTTGGAGAGGGTCCAGAGGAGGGCCACGAAGATTATAAGAGGGCTGGAGCACCTTTCTTATGAGGACAGGCTGAAAGAGTTGGGGCTGTTCAGCCTGGAGAAGAGGAGGCTCCGGGGTGACCTTATAGCGGTCTTCCAGTACCTCAAGGGGGCCTACAAGAAAGATGGGGAGAGGCTCTTCAGGAGGGCCAGTTGTGATAGGACAAGGGGTAATGGTTTTAAAATAGAGGGAGGTAGATTCAGATTGGATATTAGGAAAAAATTTTTTACCATGAGAGTTGTAGAACACTGGAACAGGTTGCCCAGAGAGGTGGTGGATGCTCCATCCCTGGAGACGTTCAAGGCCCGGTTGGACGAGGCCCTGAGCAACCTGATCTAGTTGGAGATATCCCTGTTCCTTGCAGGGGGGTTGGACTAGATGACCTTTGAAGGTCCCTTCCAGCCCTAACGATTCTATGATTCTATGATTCTATGATTCTTTTGTTTACAGATAGTTTTCATGGCAGCTTGATAAGCCAGGAGAGGAGTCAGTGCTATGGAAGAAATTGTGACTTTTTTTTTCCTGGAGTGGTGGTGGGGAGGAGGCCTGAGCTATTCTTAATTGTTCCCATACTGGTGTAAGCTACGTGAGCAGTTACATTAGCATATATCAGCGGACACTGAAATGAATGGTAAGGATTAGAGAGGGGACAGATTCTCCACATTCTCCCTATTCCAGAAAGGACTGCAGTGTGAAAGCTACAGACCTCAGGGAACATCCTCCTTAGTTCCAGTCTTTCTTGGATTTGACATAATGGGGACTATTGCCATGTGTGTGGGATATCGTTGTGTATTAAGGCACTGTAACAGAGGCAGAAAAAGGTATCTTGCAAAAAGTAAAAGAACAATAGAATACTGTTTGAGGAACAATATTACCATCTTGCTGGGATGTGTTAATGACACTTGGTTTTGTTCTCAGGATTGATTTGGCAAAAGCATCAGTTGCACTGAGAGGCTTTCTTACCCTGGACCCAGCAGCAGTGGCCTCTTTCTGTAAGTATTTTGAAGCAGCTAGGAAGTTGCCCAGAAAAGATGGTGAATGGGAAAATTCTACATACTGTTTTCAGTGAAATCTCCTCTCTGATTATTTTCTGCTTTAGAATAAGTGATTTGTTCAGTAGTTGAAAATAGCATTCAAAGGTTATGAACACTTTGCTCCATTTTTAAAGCATTTGCAACAGTAGCATTAGTGGGGCTGTTAATGAGAGAGTTCTTTTCCCACTTCTGAATACAGAACACAGACCTAGCGAAAAACAGAATCACAAGATGCTGCCTTTGATGTAGCTGACGGATTGCAAAAGTGCAGAAACCAAGTTTTGAATGCAGTAGGGGAATGCTAAGGAGAGAGAATGTGAATTAAAGGAGACTATCATTGGAGTCAGCAGAGTGAAGGGAAAGAAAATTTAGTGATAATTATGATGTCATGATGAGACAGCATTTTGGGGGTTTATATCTGACGCTACTAATTCCATTTTTTCCAGTGTACTTTGCTGCTCTTATCTTATCCTTAAGCCAGCAGACGACATGTGACAGAATTAACCTCTACACACCACCTTCAGAAAATGGCAGCATCTGGTAGGAAACTTAAGAAATCACTTCTGTAAATTATAACATATCTCACTTAGCAACCTTAGTCGAAATCCTGGTGGATTGAAAAGGTTATACACACACATAAGGAAGTATTACTGAAGGATTTCATTATTCAACCTGCCTCAGTCTGAGCTTGTTCTGAATCTTAGATAATGTCACTGAAAAATGAGAACTCAAGGATGGGTTCGATCATGTCATTTGCAAATCTATTAAACCTCAAACCAGAGCCTGTTGGAATGATGCTAAAAATGTCATCTGGCAGGAACCTTAAGAATCTTAAGAATTGGGTCCCTACTGAGGTAACCCTTTTGTGTTCAAGGGCAGGATATTCTGTAGAGTGTCAACACTGTTTTGAAGGAGATAGTCTAATCTGTCCAAGAAATTAATGTCATGGTATTATGAAAAAGTGGTATGTCTGCCATAGGATGCAAGGGCTTGGCAGATACAGCTGGCATTAAATGTGAGGCATTGTTTCATGCTAGGAGATCCCATCTAAAACTTCCTGAAGTAGGAATTTAATGAACTTAAACTCTAGTAGCACAAGTTTTTTAAAATAGACCAGGAGAAGTAGTACAAAAGCATTTACATGAAAATTTTCTGGTTTGCGCAGTTAGATTTCTTCTTTTTTTTTTTTTTGAGGGCTTCTATAAATGAGTTGTTTATAAAAAGCCTAGATTCTAGTAACAAAATCACAACCTGCTGCTATGACAGTAAGAAGTGTCAGCTGACTTAAATCATAAACTTCCCATAGCCTTAGCTCATCCTCCTCACAGCATCTGTACACAAATCCTTGCTTCCAGACAGACTTTACTGACTTGCTATTCACTTGCCTTCCTGCCTCGTGAGGAAGTGCTTAAAAATAACATTGACAACATTGTGTGGTGTCTTTCACCACAGTAAAATTTGACCATGAATTTTGATTTTTATTTTCTGTCTCTTGGCCAAGAAAAGGAATTTGCTGTTGAAATCTACAAGAGGACATTTTCTGTGAGATAATGGGGTTTCTTAGCTGAGTTACTCTCTTTGGTAGTTACTGTCTTTACCAGCCCTTTGCAACACAAGACCATCAGGAGGGTACAAGTAGTTCTGTTTCCACGTCTGGCTTAGCGAGCTTGTTTTTATGATACTCTGTTGAAATGAGTGTTGTAACTTGCATGTAACAGCAAACCCCTGACTGATGGGTGATGTGCTTTTCCCAGGACGGCAGGTACAGAGGAAGAAATTGTTCAGCCGTGGGTTGTGGTGAATCTGGTAGTGTCTATTCTAGTTGGGACAAGTTGGATCTTCTTGTCTTACCGACCAGAGCTAGACCACAGTGAAGGTAGGAAACATTAACAGGCAAAATGTTGTTTGTTCAGGCTTTTACCTGCTGTGCTCTGCACTTGGTGTTCAAGACTACTTCTGAGACATTTTGTGGCTGAGGGAGAACAAGCATCTCCTAGCAACTTCCCAGAGCAAGTGCTTCTTAAGATTCTGGTGTCTGTGTTTGGTTTTGTAAAGAAAAAACAGTAAAAAAGAAGTAAAAGCCTTGTTTGTCCTGGCTGAAGCAACATGAATTTTGAAACGTGAGTGTCGTGGTTTGGGCCGGCCGGCAACTAAACGCCACACAGCTGCTCGCTCACCGTCCTCCACCCCAGGGGTTGAGGAAGAGAATTAAAGGGAAATTTTTTTGAAAGAGACCCCTGGGTTGAGATAAGAACGATTTAATACTACTAATAGTAATATATGAATATATACATATGTATAATGATAATAATATATACGAACAAGCAATGCACAGTGTAATTGCTCACCACCCAGTAACCAAGACCTGTCCCATCCCACACTAGTGATCCCAAAACAGATAAGTCCTGACACTGCAATCCTGGACAAGTGAGAGGCCTGAAAAGAGATAGAGAGCACTCTGAGAGTCCAAGAGTGAAATCCCCGGAAGATCAAGGGCCCTTCTTTCCGGCTGACCCTCATTTTTATACTGGACATGACACTGCATGATATGGAATATTTCATTGGCCAATTTAGTCCTCAATCCTAAGTCTAAGTTCAAATCATAAGGGGAGTCATGGACCCTCTGTCCCAGCCATGCTCCCTCCTATCCTGTTGTGCTCCTGCACACTGGCAAGAACACGGCAGCTGAAAAGCCCTTGATGTCACAGGGCCAACTACAAACATCAGTGCGTTATCAACATTCTTCTCATAAGGAGTCCCAGACTAAAACCAAAACACGGAGTTCTTCTGGCTGCTGAAAGGAAGAGCTAACTGTCCCAGCTGAAACCAGGACAATGAGGGAGCACTGCGGTGCTCCAGCCCAGCCAGCAGCTGAACTGCCACATGGCCCCTGGTGGGGTGGAGAGGAGAAAAATGTAACAAAAGGCCTGGGGGTCGAGATGAAAACAGGTTGAATGCAGGATGATACTGCATATGATCAGCTGCTAACATCGTCACTAATTCTATTAATTTTAGGGGGCAACAGTAGTTTTCTAAAGACAGTGATGGCCCTTGCCATTGCTGACTTGTGGATACTACTATTGGGACAAAAAGCAGGAAGCTTGGGGGAATGCCAGAGCACTTTTCAGGAATAATGAAACCGTATTCAAGTGAAACTTTTAAAAGAAAATATAATTCTTTTTTTCTCTCTTTTAGAACTCATGTTTCATACTGAAATCGAGGGATTTCCACAGGGAGACATCATACCCAGAGTCCAGCCATAGTGTGGAACAAGCATCTGCAAATATTGCAGCTGTGACTGATGGCTCAACATGTTGTGTATTATAGCCATGTATTATAACTTTCATAAAGAAAAAAAAGTATTTTTATATTGTATATATTTGATTTTGATCTTTTTATGTATGCTACAATTTCCAAATGTGATTGAAAACTTTTTATACTTTCGCTTTTTATTTTACAAAGTAGATTATCTCTAGTGCATAAAGTCAAGGTGATTTTGTAAATACTGCTACCTGTGTAGCCAAAGAAACTAGGTGAATGTAGAAGATCAGGAATTCAGTGCTTTTCCAACTGCTGTACAGTCTTCAACAACCTGCTTTCGTTACTGATGCTGATAGCGGTTGGTTTACCTCATTTGGCTAAATATTCTCTAGAGATTATAACAAATCTTAGGAAGAAAGTAGTCTAAGGAAGATTATAACCAAACAGAGTTAGGCAACATTGAACCCATAAAGTTAGTAAGCATAAAATAATCTGGGTTTAGTTGTCATAAAAAGTATTTGCTAGAATAAGGGATTGGATTGTCAGGGATTTTGTTGAATAATTCCTTAAAAGAAGACACTTTATTTTTCTTCATTTAGTTCTCTTGACAAAGATCTTGATGATAACAAGTTCTTTCAAGTTGATGTAGATCCAAGAAACAGAAGTTTTAATATTGCAACAGTTTAGTCAGCCAATGAATACCTAATCTTTTAATCAAGCAGGGCATTTTTGGGTTGCCAGCAGGATACATGTATGCCCTATGATTTGTCGACAGTCAGGATGCATAACTATTACAAAGCCATTCACAGGAATAGTGTTCTTCTGATTATTCACTGCTCTTTCTAAAGAAACTTGGATTTCACAGGTGTTAAAAATGTTCCTGCTTCTTCCTATTTTGATAGAGATTGATGTCCCCCAAAAGGATGTTTGTTGTTTTATGTTAGGATGGAATGGGAAACTTTTTCTAAAATTACAAGAAAATGCTTACTAAAGCAAAACAAAAACTGCAACAACCCGCCTTCTATGTAGTGATGTAGTAGTAATAGTGGCAGTTGATGGGTTTTGATGATGATAGCCAACATTATTATTCTTTTATATTAAAGTGGCAAAATGAAAGCATTGCAGATATGAATAAATACAGGTGTATTGCAGGATGAAACAATCTCTGTAGTAGATGTGGACAAGAGCTAGTTTGAAATCCGTTTCTCAAGAAGGCACCGCCTAAAGCCCCAAACCTATTGTACATGTTACTTAATATGCATTGATGTTGCGTTGTTTTATTTAATGTGTGTGTCTAAGTGTGGTTGTAAAGGATGTGCAGTTGTTAAAGATCCAGGGAGAATTACTGTGCTTCCTAGTAGAGAAGTTCAGAGTACCCAGATAAAAGACTTGGAGGCGGATGTTAAAGAGCCAGTGACTTTCTGTGCTGTTACCCGAGTTGCTTTAAAACAAGGATGGGAACGTGAGTAACTAGGGCGGCTGCTGCCCTGTTGGGGACCTGAGTTATGTTATGCCCATCCAGCAAATTTAAGTAAATAAAAATTCAGTGTTTATGACGTTTTTAAAATGCTGTGGTAATCTTGGGGGGTGGGGGTGGGCGGTGGTGGTGGGAAGAATCCTACCGGAATTAAAAGACATTCCACAGCTGCTGGTTGCATTCTGGGGCGTTCATTTTGTTGTGGGAAGGAGCTGTTAACCTTTTTTATAAATTTTTATGGCTCTTTTAGAGCTAAATTATGACTGGCACTGCATTGTACATTAAAATGGAGAGATTCCGAGTGCCACTCCCCTTCAGAGTGGCACTGGAGGTTCTTGTGATTTGGCTGTAGGACATGGGGGATGAGGCACTACTTAGTGCTCCCATGTAGGTTGCCACCACATTTTCTCCAGATCTGGTGTGTTTGATTTACAGAATTGTTGGGCTCCTAAAAATGAGATTAATAATGGCTTCTCTTTGCTGCTTGACATTTCTGTCATCTTGGCACGGTAAGAAGTATAATTTTGCCCATAAAGCATGGAGCTCAGGCAAAACTGTGCTAAGGCATCAAATCAGTACAGGAAAAATTTGAATAACATCATCGCTTGATTTCTGACATTATTACTAGGAATAGGGCTTCCAAGTATCCCTTGGACAAAGTGATGCTAGCCAAGAGCCAGATTTGTTCGCATTATGAAATGCAGTAGTTCGTTTAGATAGTTGAGCAGGGATTAAGTTAATGAACTTAATGGGATCAGTATTTCAAACCAGGCTTGCCTTCAAGTGTATCTTTTAGGAAGGGTCTGAGTATATGCATACTTAAATTAATGTGGTTTGAGGTTGCCATTTAAAATCACACTTAATAAACAATTTGATGGCTAATTACCTATTTTACAAAGTACTTTTCATTCCATTAAGCCTTACAATGGAATATAACTGACCTTTTCTGTTTAGTTACTTGGAAGGTTTTAGAACGAGCTTACAAAATTGACGTTTAATTACAAAACATGCAAAATCTGTAGAAGCCTTAACTGAAATATCTTTGTGCGTTTCCACACCATTGTTTTTAATGCAGTATTTTTGCATTAATGAAAAAATTACAGATGTTAGTGCCAATTTGTTTTTACATATATGAAACAATTAAACAACTTGCTCTAAACTAGTTAGAAATGATTGTACTACTTTGTCCTGTTTCCAAATGATTAGTCTGTTTAAAAATAAATCGGTCTAATTTGTTCCCCAATGCTAATATTATGTAGAATATACAAGCTCTGAACAGGTGATTGTGGGAAAACATTTCTTATTTGTGGCAGTGTTGTAAATAA